AAAAAAATTAAAGAATTATTTTATTTAACTTTATTTATTTAAATTTGACCAAAGAGGGACAGAAAGAGAGAGAGAGAGAGAAAGTGAGAAAGCAAGTTGCCAGGTCCCGGACTTGAACCACAGTTGGCCATGTGGGAGTCCAGTGCCCTTAACCACCATGCCACCTGCCAGCCTCCTGAGACACTTTCTTTAACTGATATATCTACAGTATTTCTGTTTCAGCAGTTAATCCATATGACAATTGCTAATACAATTTTTCTCGGAGCTAAGATTTCAAGCTTCAGTATGTACTTTATATTCACGGCACGCCTCCCTTCAGACCTGCCACGCTGAACGCCATGTGACTGGACAGCTCAGGCCTGGAGGGAGGAGCCCAAGGCCTGGTGTGGAGGGGAGGAGGCAGAGGAAGCGGCGGCAGGGGTTTTCTTCCCAGGTGTCAAAATCCTTCCGGGGTGGGACCAGCAGATGGCATAATGGTTACATTGTTGGACTCCCATGTGGTTAACTGTAGTTCAAGTCCCAGATCTGGTGACTTCAAACTCACACAGGGCACGTGTGCGTGCGTGTCCAAAATCCCAAGAGGATCCAAAATCCCAAGAGGAGAATGAAGGAGAAGGGACTGCTGCGTGGCCATACCTCTTGGGGGGATTTCTGGCTTTCTGTCTCTATCTCTCTAGAGAGTGCACATGCCTTATACAAAAATCTTGTAAAAAAATCTTTTAGGGGCTGGCAGGTGGCATAGTGGTTAAGGTGCTGGACTTCCACATGGCTGACTGTGGTTCAAGTCCCAGACCTGGAGGTTTGCTTTCTTACTTTCCCTCTCTCTTTGGTCAAATTAAGTAATAATAATAATAAAACCCAGAGTAAGTGTTCCACAGAGTTACATAGCAGAGATTGGTTTTATAGACAGGGAGGGAATAAACAAAGCTATGGCAATTTAGTTTAAAGATGTTTATTATTTATGTAAGTTTTTGGCTTTGTTTTGTTTGTTTTTGCCGTGGGGCATGTACTCACACACTTGCTGAAGAGAGACAGAGAGAGACAAAGGGAAAGCGCGGACTCACCCTCCAGGGGGATGGCCACGCCACGATCCCTTCTCCTCCATTCTCCTCCTGGGATTTTGGGCAGCATGATCTTCAAGTCGGGCGGTCCAGGACTCAAGCTGCAGAGCGCACGCGCCCTACAGTGAAAATCTCTCCAAAAAAAAAAAAAAGAATAAAGAATCCTTTACCTCAGACCAAAGCCACCCCACAACTTCATAGCCCTTGGGTGGCCAGGGGAGATGCAGGAGACAAGGGTGCGGGGACTGGAGGGCAAGTTACCAAGGCAGGACGGGTCGGGGGAGCAGGCGCTGCCCGGCCTTGGCAGAGAGTGGGGATGTGGGGTCGGGGGGTGGCAGGGAGTCTACGAAACAGTCCCTAGGCAGAAGTGTCCAGGCGTCAGGGTCCTCGAGCAAGGCCAGGGTGGGGAGCAGGAAAGGGGCCCAGAGTCCATGGGAACTCGGGGAGTTCCAGGGGCCAGTGGTAACGGCATGGGTCTGGACAGAGGGGTGAGGGGCAGAGAGAGAAGTGAGGACAGGTCCCTAGGAGGAGCATGGGGGGCGCTGGGCTTGCCCCAAGTGAGAAGAGCCATCCCAAATTAAGTGGAAGAGGCTGGCAGAGGCGTAGAGGGGTGGGGAATGTGGAGGGGTGTCTGTGGGAGCAGAGGTGGTTGGAGAGGCTTCAGGTGGAGGGGCACAGGGGTCGAGGCCGGTGGAGGCCGCTCACCTTTGTGTGCAGCTTGGCCAGCTGCTTCTCGTCCAGGTTGGTCTGTTTGTAAACGCGGGTCTTGTATCGGAACTGAGCGGTGGGGATGGGGAGGGAGAGACGGAGGCAGGAATCAGTGCCTGGGGAGGAGGCTTTGGTAGGGGCTCGGGGTCTCAGCTCAGGGCTGAAGTGGACAGAGCCCTGAGCCTTGGCAGGGGGAGCCCAGGGCACAGCTGGCTTTTTGGAGAGTGCGGGGTCACAGCAGTGTGTGTGCTGCCACCCCACCTTGAAGGGAGAGGAGTCTGGACCCCACAGGGAATGTTCTAGAATGCCTACTGCAATTGAGAATCCTCGCCCAGTTTGATGGGCAAGAAGTTTAAGTAACTCTAAGCTTTTGTGGCTGATCAGAGGCCTTGCTAGTGGACACTTGAACGTGGGCCTGCTCTTCCCGCAGTTTTCAGATTCCGCATAGTCCATGGGGCTTCCCTGGCCAAGGCCTTGACTTCCATAAAAGGGGGCAGGGCAGGCTGTCAGTGGAGGGGTCTGGAAGGCTGTGGCCTCACCTCCAGGTAGGGCACCCCCTTCTCGAAGGACTGGGGGTATTCCCGTAGCAGCCTCTCCTCCTCCAGGAAGTTGGCGTCGCGGCCCGAGGTGGCGGGCTGGAACAGGCCGTAGTTGAGGACGTCCTGCAGGCTCTCACTCAGGGCACAGAGTACCTGCTGCTTGGCGGTCCAGATGGTGGCGTCGGGGTTGAAGCGCAGGCATTTCTGGAGGAAGGGCACAGTCCGGCGGGGGTCAGTCCGCAAGTGCCGGGAGGAGCCCCCGTGGGCTGAGAAGGGAGCGGACAGCTAGGGCTGGGGGTGGTGGTCTGAGGACGGAAGGACATGGGGAAGCACCCCGGCCTGGAAATGGGAGTGGGGGCTTCCTGGGAGGCCTCGAGCCTGTGCAGGCCCTGTGCCCCTCCGGGCGGCCGGCGCGTGGTCGCTCACCGTCTGGTGCAGGTCCGGGATGCCAATCCTGAAGACCATCATGCTGAAGTGGGCGTCGTCGGGCACAGACATGGAGCGGCCCTGGAGGCCTCTGACTGAGGCCAGGCTACCAGGTGCCCCACTGCCCCGGCCCCGGGTCCCCCGGGGGCCTCGTCCTGGCCCGTCTGGGGAGCTGTCGGACTCCGAGCCCCCCTCGGGACACTCGCTGGCACTGTGGCGTTCCTCGTCCTCGCTTGTCGCGGGGCTGTGGGTCATCGTGGGGCCACGGGGCGATGGGGGACGGCAGCATCACAAGCGGCTGTGGGCACAGAGAGGCGGTCAGGCCGGGGGCCAGGACCTCCGAGGCCACAGGCACCGCTCAGGGGGCGGTGGGACGCCAGGAGGAGGCTGGGCAGCCCTGCGTCCTGGGAGGCCCCTCTGCTGTGGCCATGTGGGCACGCACAGCCCCTGTGCCTGGCACACTGCCAGCGTGAGTCTCCTTCCCTGCCCTTGGCCCTACCTGCAGCCCCCCGCCCCCCCTGCGCCCCACTTTGCCGCTGACCCAGCGTGGCCGTGTCCCAGAAACCGCAGAATCACCGCGGGAGCTGCTGGCCCACTTTGCCAGGCCACGGAAAATGCAGCTAAAATTAGCTGAGGACAGACAGGTGGAGGCATCCTGCCCTCCTGGCCCCAGCGTGGCCCCTCACCCGAGGCCCTGACATTCCCTTCCTGGACAGCTGGGGGCTGAGGCAGAGACATAGTAGGGGACATGGGGGTGCCTGAGCACAGGGGAGCAGTGGAGGGCGGCTCCACTCCAGGGTGGCTGAGAGTGTGTGGAGGCTGCTGGGGTCGCTGTTGCGGGCAGAAGGGCAACAGAGACGCCATGGGGCAGAACTCTCGTTGGGTGTCCCAGAGGGAACAGCAGGAGTGGCCTTTGGAAGTTGCTGGGGCATCTGGACTGGGTGTGTGGGTGGGGGTGGGGAGGTGGCCCAGGGAGGGCTGTCCAGGCGACAGTGGAGTGGCGGCCGGAGGGGTCAGTGTGGGTAGCTGGGGGTGACCTGTGGGCATGTTCCAGGAAGGCTCTGCAGGGTGGGCGGCTGCCACTGCCCGGAACCGTGCTCCACTCAGAAGGGCTGGAGTGGAGGGATGGGGGCTGGGACGAGCTAGGAAGCCAGGTGGAGGGCTGGAGTGGGGGTCATCTCCCATCCACTGCTCTCTCCTGACTAGGAGGCAGGGTCCCTTCCAACCGGGGTCTGCCTCCTTCTCGTTCTTCTCCCCCGTTCCCACCCCAGCACCGGAAGCCAGAATGTCTGGTCTGGTCCCTCCCCCCCACACCAGGCCCGGCTCCTGCACCGTTGCCATGGAGATGGGAAGCAGTGGAGGGTACTGCTGACTTTGGGGGAGCAGGGCTGGGCTGGGGGGTTGGGGAAGGGAAGACGAAACGTATGTGTGGGGGGGCGGAGAGTTCC